AGCACTTCAGTGTTTGGGCACAGTATTTGTTGGGTAGATTAATGTAGGGTTGCTATAGTTGGGATCGACTTGATGGCAGTGGGTTGGGATTTTTGGTTTATGGAGATACTTGAACGTTTCCACTCACTCCTTTGAAGAGGTTTGTTGGCTTCACCACTACCCAATCGCCATTCTTGGTGATTCCAGAATCAAAGAAAATGATCCTGTTTCTTTCTCAGTGTTCCCACCTGAGCAGTCCAGCTGTGGTAGTTAAGGTTATGTGTCAACTTGACTGGGCCTGGTTTTGAGTGGCTGGGCAGCTGGATGTGGCGATTCCCCACGGTGAGACTTGTAATCAACTCCATGGTGGAATCTGCAGTGAGCAGCCTTAGGGGTGTGGTCTGCTCCCAATATGTAAGACGCTTTGAGAAAGGTCTTGAGCTTCTTGGCACATTTGGATCCTGCGTGTAGCTGAGTCATCAGTGAGTGGCCTGCAGTGTTGTCTCCTGATCTTAGGACTGTTTTCTGGATTTGAACTAGTGGCCTGCTGTGTTGCTTGATAATCTTGGGACTGTACCATTTTATTTGTTGACCTTGGGTTTGACAGCTTCAGCAGCCAGCAGCTGCCTGAGATAAGCCTTCAGCTTCAGTGGGCTGGGAGCAAAAGGCAGAGCTGAAGCCCAAGGTCGAGGGGCCTTCACCCCGCCTCTAGAGCTGGCACTTTGAACTCGGACTTCTAGTCTCCTAAAGTATAAGAGACTAAATCCCTATTTGTTAAAGCCATCCATTTGTGGTATTTTCTGTTAGAGCAGCACTAAGGAACCAAAACACCAACTATGTAAACCAAAGATCTCTGATTTCTCTCTCTTTGACTCCTCACATCCAAGTCCTGCTGACTCTACCTCCAAATATATCCAGAATCTTAATACTTCTCCCCATCTCCACTCCCACCACCCTAGTGCAAACTCCATCATCTCTCACCTGCTCACCCAAAAGAACTTGCAAGCTGTACCCTCTCTTCCCCCTTTACACTCTTGTCCCCTTCCCAGTAATTCTGCTGATAATAAACTCACTGCCATCGAGTCGGATCTGACTCATAGCGACCCCTCCTTGGGTTTCTGAGGCAGTATCACTATGGAAGTAGATTGCCCAGTCTTCCTTCTGAGGAGTGCCTGGTGGGTTTGAACCGCCAGGCTTCTGGTTAGCAGTCAAATGCCTTAGGCACTATACCACCAGAGTCCTTCCCCTGCTGACAATAGTCACCATGATTTAAAAAAAAAAAAAATCACTGCCTGGAATATTCTAATGGCTTCCTATTAAAAGGAAGGGCACTTAGAATAAAATCTGAACCCCTTCCCGTGGCCTACTAACAAGGCATGATGACCTTGTCCCAGCTAGCCTCTCCAGACTCATCTCCGAATCCTGCCGAGCCCACCACTCTTCAGCCACACAGCATTATCTTGTTTCCTCATTCCTATCTCAGGACCTTTGCACTTGCTGGTGCCTCTGCCTGGGATGTTCTCATCTTTCAGGCCTTGTGTAAGTATTGCCTCTTCAGAAATCCCAGCCATCCTATCCACGATAACCCACCCCTTTCCCACCCAACTCTCCTTTGATGCTCTTACTG